TGGTTTACAGCGAGCAAACACTGAAGAACAGAAATAAAATTCTCGACGAGCGGCGAACATCGGGGCGAAAAGTACGTCGTGATTTATCGCCGCGATGAGGCCGCATCATCGTCGAGACACAAGCACGACGTAATTATGATTAACGACGCGGATGTTTGCGAAGGACAAGAGAGAGACCAGTCCTCCCCCCTGTTACAGTTCCTCCATTTATGTTTCCCCGACGTTACCTACGACGCGTTTTATACCCTCGTTCGCTTTTTCCTACCCCCTCCGAAAGGAAAGAAAAATTGCCTTTCAACCTGTTCCCAAGAACACATCGCGTAATTAATTCCACGACGGTTGCTAGGCCGCACAATGTTAGCGAATCGACAACGTTCGACGATACCGAGGGCCTTTAATCACTCTCGACGACAATCCGCTTTTATTAATTGCAACACCGGTCACGACGTCGAGGCGAACCGACGATTACCCCGGCGCTTGACATTATTCCAAATAGTATTCGTAATAGATTTCGTAATAGATCTCGTAATTGCTTTCACGAGATAGACACGTCTACTCGGTTTTATTTCACGAGTGTCGATTGATACGAAAATCGCGCGCGAGTACTCGATTGATGCGTTCGATGACAAATCTTCGGACGAAATTTCTGCTTCTCCCTAACTGGTAACAGGTACACACGACCCAGAACATAAATCCTACGGGCGAATATCGAGGAGAATCACTTTGCCAAAATACCAGCTAGGGATTCCGTGCCAAGTATCCCGGAAACTGAACTCGACGATTGGAGCTGACATCCCGTGTCTTATGGTTCGCGAATTGAATTGTTCGAAAAAAGAAAACTTAGAGGGCACGGATCCGAGCACCGAGCTGACCCGGTCCCGCGATGATTCCAAGCGTGGACTCCTTCCGATTTTTGCAATTTCTTCGATCGACTTTCGTGACTTTCACCCAGCTGGGGAACTTTCGCGCAAATCGACTCACATCGGTTCTCGCGTAATGACATTCCAAGGACGCGACCTCGAACATCGGCCATTAATTCTCCGGAGAAAAGTACGATAGTCCGGTTACCTTCCACTTACTCGGGGAATACGTTGGATCGGGAGATCGTTCGCGGAGTAATTGGCGCCAGCTGTTCGAACGCCAAACATGGAGACTGTTCTTTTTTTTTTTTTTTACTAACAATTACCATTATCCACAGTCGCGTGCAAAAATTTCCGTAATATTACTTTGTTGCGTTTCGGAGAGGGAAAGCTGAGATGAATTTTCAGATAATGCGCGATGAAAGTATGATGAGAAAGAGAGACATCCACGCTCTTCGGAAGCATTCATTTCATCTGTGGCAGAAGTCTACGTGAGATGGTAAAAATAATGTAAACGGTGGAACGTGTAATGTGACAAGCGAATAATATTTTCAAATACTGATCTTTCTTCTGTCTCCTTTTTATGCGAGATATATCACGATTCGAACCACGGGATCAAAAAAATCACTTGAAACTATATTTTCCTGTATCTCGTAAACATCGGAATAAGTGACTGTTATTTGAGCGCAGTTGTTTTTGCATTCCGTGTTTCATGAATTCCTGACCAGCTTCGAGTGAAAAATCTGACTGTGAGACGATCGATAATAATCTAAAGCTTGTACCTGTATCTATCGTAACAACAATGCTCCAGGCAGGCTCTTGTATCGACGGTTCCCGTCGTTATCTCGTCGAAGTATGCAATCAAATGAAACTGTATCTTGATTCCATGACAAGAAACGGTGGTTTCGAATTCCTATATATTTACGTTATTACCGACGGAAATTCGTTTTCGAAGTGAAGGGAAACGAGAAGCTGACTAGTAACAGAAAAACATTTCAACTATCTGCGGTTTGGACGTTAAAGCGATCAGTGCCCAGACGTTTTCACGCGATTTACCGCTCAAATCATATTCACGCACGTCCATCGTACACAAAGCTATAAGACATTCACAATATTTGCAAGCATTCAAATGCCGATTCTTTACCGAAAATGATGGCAAATTGCATATTACAAAACAGTGAATACTTTTATCGTATCACATGCATACTTTAATGTGGGAACAAAAATTTATATTAGACGATGGATAATCCACTTCGATTTACAATACCAAGAGTACCGTAATACGGATAGAATAACACGATCGAGTGGATGTTAAGGGTCTAAAAAAAAAAAGATTTCAACCTGCGGCAGAAACGGCGCCAACTATGAGAACATAATGGAGTGCTGGAGCGAAGAGCACTTTAGAAGACTTTGACCTACGGTACAAATCGCAAGGATCCTCCAGGGCGCCGGAGAACGCGGCGGCGGATTTATTTTTAAACGGAACGCTCGCGCGCGATACGTCGGAGGAATCATCGTCGTCGCTACGGGCCGTACTCAATTTCCTGTTGACCTATTTATATCGTGTCCAACCGGCGAGAAACGATGTAGGTACTAGTCAAGGTTCTCGGGTTAGTTCGATAGGCTTCTGACGACACCGGTGGGACTACCGTCGAGGAATTGTTAATCGACCGCAAACTGCGGGTTCGCTGAGCTTCGTGGGATTGCGATGCACCTTCCGGTATCGCTTTCATGGAGCACGCGCGGGATCGCACCCTGACAATGGTTGCAGCTAGCGATGGGTCTTTCTATATAAATAAATAAGAACCTAATTGTGGAATAACGTTCTTTCAGCGAAGTTTCGTTCTCGACGAAAACAATCTGAAGATTGTATATCAGGCAGGTGTGCTTTGAAATAAACCGGTATTATGTCTGATTATTATTCGCTGCTTCTACTGATAAGACACTATTTGAGTTCCATCGATCTCGCTACTTTCTGACTATTTATCAAGACTATTTATCAAGAAAATAAGACTGGCGACAGTAATTTTTCAGTACCATCACTATTTCCGAGGCTACTCGCTAGGATTGTAAATAGACCATCCTGTATGCATGTTGGATCGTGGTCGCTGGTGGACCCTATCGTCCAGATGCATCGAGAGTCACGTAGAAGACGCTTTTTCCTGGTTCGGAAAAGAGAATCGGAGAGGGAAAACGTCGAGGGTGGGCAGATGCACGGATAAGGAGGTCCGTGGTTAAGGAAGAAGGAGAATGCAGGAACGAGGGAACGCGCAATAGAGGAAGCGGTTGCGGAGTAGAAGGAAATTGTGACTTATAACATCCTTCCAGGACATCGTACCTGGGCCCACAGGTGGCGTCGCGCAAGGAGAAACCTACTTCTATGGTGTCTACGCGAGCGTTATGCATTTCTACCGAAAGTTTTCCCTTGAAATGTAGCGCAATTGCTCCCGCTGCTTGCATACTTTTTTTTTGCCACGGAAGGATACATGTATCGGAAGTGTCGCGTACGGGTAGAAGAACCGATGGAAAATTTCTGACGTCTTTCTTCCACGTTAGCATTTCACGATCCTCGGACGTTGCGTTCGGTTAATTAAGCGATTTAATGTTCCACCGTGCGTAAAACGTTCCGTAGCTGGAATAAATAATCTGTCACGAAAGCGCCAGACTATATTTATTACGCGTTGCATCTGCCTAAACCGGTACGAAATGCATCTACATAGTTGATGCTCCAACCGCGTAAAAAGTCGACCGGTTGCAGCCGGCCCTGACCAACATAGATCCAAGGAGGTGATTCTTTTTTTTCCATCTGAATCACGATGATAAAGCCTCGGAACAAGGAAGAGAGTGATTTACGTAAATCTAGCGCATAATTCGCCCCTCCTTCCCCCTGGTATCGTTATGTCACAATGTTTCATTCGCCAAGTAAGACGTTAATATGCCACCTGTGCGCCTGTATTTCATACTATGCCATGAAATCGTCATCGAATCTTTCGATTTACGAAAAATATATCCTCTACGGCCTCGTAAACCGTTTATTACCGTTGTACGGACAATGAAATGTGAAATACAATTTTAAGTATCCATTCGATAGTTTCGTCGTCATAAACGGTGGGTAATATCTCCAATGACCACAACTACGATAGAATAATAACCAAATTCAAAATCAACTCCCTTGAAAATAGACGTATTGCTGCTGAATTAAATTAAATTAAATTTTAACTGTCTTTATTGATCGAGTATAAAAATAGATGTAAAACAATCGCTTTCCGCCCGACTCTGCCGCAAACCACTTCGCGAGCTTCGGTCCACATTTTCGAGAGCGGTATACATATACGGGATCGTCGACTCGAGAACCGAGGAGTGTGTTTACAAACGAAACCAAGAGAAATTCAGCTCGGCCTCGAGGCGGAGGGGTATCTTCCTCGAAGTAAAAAGCAAGTGCACGATTGCTCGTTACCAGCGAGCGATCACGTATTCACAGATTGAATTAATTTGATGGGAATGCGAGGAACGCACTCGTATCTAATCTCTCGTCGATTTAAATCTAGTCGAGCGATAACGCGATACAGCATCGCGAAGCTAGCGATACATAATGTATAGCGAGGAAGGAAAAAAAAAAGTAAAAACAGTATTATATCAAAGAGAAAACATTGCTAATTATCTCGGGGAGTCAACCGTTCGCGTATCCTAATTGCAAATTCCTAAACAAGAAACGAACCAACTTGCACGCGGCGCTCGGGAATAAAATATATAGCGTTCGTGATTACCTTTATTTTTTTCATTACTGAAACCCATGTATCAGAAATATGTTCACGGAATCACTCGTCTACGATTCGCCTGCTCCTAATATTTCTTGGAACGTTTCGCGGCTCGTTACAAGGCTGTAATCGTAAGTTAAATTGCAAGGTCTTTTCCCAAGACGCGTAACGCTCGCGATTCCGATTAATATCGTTCTCTTTCCGTGGATTATTCATCGTTTCTAACAAGTTCCGACGTCAATGTGGAAAATATTATATGATTATAATTAACCAGAATCCGGTTAACTAATTCGTTCGTTCTCCTACAGATTTTGATAGGTTACGCGGTCAACCGGTTGAATCGGTCTATGTACTCGAAGATAAAGATACGATTCAATCTTACCTTGAACACCTCCGAGAAGAATCCTGCTCCGATCTTCTCCATATAGAAGTCATCCAAACGGTTCAACGAGGCGACCGCGTGCCTCAACGCCTGGCAGGAAGCACCTGTCCGCCTTTTCGTGCTCGTGTCCTGATAGGTATCGCCGGGAAACACGTTCAGGTTGCAGATATTGCTTTCCATTTCGGTGGGTCGCCATGGATCACGGCACTTCTCCCGATCCCTGTACCTGGGCGACGACAACTGCAGCTCCGTAGGTAGGTCTTGCGGTAAACAGGACACGCAACTCTGAGCCGCGTCGCCGTTGCTTATCATCCAATCCTTCGACGGCGTGGACGTCGTGAAATCACTTCTGCAGCTTCGTTCGCAGTTCACGATCGAAACCGTCGACACACCGGTTTGTTCCGCTGTGTCCTTGTCAACGGACGACTTGCTCGACTTTCGGCAGATTTCGCTGGACTGGATCAGAGAAATCGCGGGAAACTCCGTGGTCGAAGTGTCCGGTAACTCGTCGCTCGATTCACAGACAGGCCGACCTTTTCCGTTCGACACGGAATGGCCTGTATCGGAAGACCTCACGGAAGATTTCGTCGCCAACGAACAAATTACACTCTGCGCGACTCTCTGCGACTCTCTGGACGCGCACTTTCCACCGGTTACATTTTCCCGGTCCTTACCCACGAGAAATTCGCGACCCAAATCGATATGCTTCTTCGCGAACTTGGACGATTCTCTGGAAGCCAGCTCGGCGTTCAAACTGCTCAGACTGGCGGAACAGAGTACCTTCTGCGACTTAACGGTCGCATTCGCCGACACGCAGCCCGATGGCTTGACGAAGCTAGGGCAATTGGGGTTCGAGGAACACTTGTGGATGGCAGTGTTCGACGAGGTACTCGTTTTCGCCGCCAGTCCCACGTGGTGTCTTCCTTGACACGTAGTTTCCTTGGTCGAGTACTTGGAACAGTTCTTCGCGACGGAAGAGCTCGCCGCTTCCGTCCTGCAGGGTCTGCTGACCTCGACGAACGCGACAGACGCCTGGGAATAATTGGCCGTGGAACTAGACGCTTGAGAACTGCTATGCAACTCGGTTGCTCCGCTGCTGTTGCTGGGGTCTTTGATTCTCCACGGCTTCGACTTGTCGTCGGCGGAGGGTGCCTCGGAAACTAGCGAGGGATTGCCCTCCTTCGACCTCTTGGCCTTCTTATCGTCGATCGTGAGACACTCGGAAGGCGTGCTTGTTTCCTTGCTCCTCCTCGGTTTCGACTTGTCTTCGAGCAAGGTAGATGCTTCAGGTGCCGTAGCGGTGGAATTCTCCTTCAGCCTCCAAGCTATCGGTTTGTCGTCCATGAGCGTGGAGGACTCGATCGGAGGTGACGAGCCTTCCTTGATTCGTCTAGGCTTCGATTTGTCCTCGACGACAGACGGCGCGTCGAAAATGATGGAAGGGTTGTAGTTGTCCTTTGGTCTCCAAGCTTTCGACTTCTCGTCGTCCGTCACCGAGCCGGCTGTTTCGTCCGACGAGAAACACGGCAAACACGTGGTCCCGTTCGGTCTGGGAACGCAGGACTTGGATGAACCACCGTTGGAAGGCGGTGGTCCTGGTGTGTTCGACGGTGGCACCTTGCCGAACATGTTCACCGTTATTGCGAGACGATTGAGCAGCTTGAACAGGGATGGAAGATCCTAACCCCCGTGTTCTGCATCACATGAATTTATCAGTGTTGTCGGTGGAGGACTCTATAAGTCCTACACGTTCCTAGATTTTAGACGGACAAGACCGTCGATGCCCGGTCAGGAAGACTTCCAATGTGACGAGCTACGTCCTCGACGCGGTAGCTCAACATCGCAGAATCACTTTTTACGCCGCGAAAGCGTACGGACTCTCGCGTTTTGGCAGTGGAATCACGCTCCCGAAATCACAGTTGGTGGCTAGGGCATGGTCCTAGCAGCAGGGGACGCAGTGCGGCAAGCGGCCGGCATCGACGAGCACGAGAAGCACATGGAACATCCGCAACGACGAAACTTGGCACATCTCTCTTTCTCTCTCTCTCTCTCTCTCTCTGCCCCCTTCTGGAGCGTCCTCGAAACACAGGATGAGACTTTGGCTTTCCTGAAAGAAATCTGCGTCGAATGCATCCTGTGAATACTAATCGACCATGTTTTTATTCGTTTCGTGCAATCTTTCGAGGCACCGTAGAACGGCATCTCGTAATATTTCAGATATTATTACTTTTATTATTTACTAGCGCGATATAACGTGGACGGGTAGAAGAATATTAACTCGTGAAATTTTTTTTTTTTTTTTGAACCAACTTGTGGAATGCGATATGCACCCTATTAGAGGATCGAATTAAACTCTGCGGCACGATATCGTTATGCTGCATTGACTTCACCTATATCCATGCCTCACCAACGTAACCCACATCCAATATAATATTAAATCTGTGGTAATATACTAGACAGTGTGTGACGGCAAAAAGTGTTCAAGCTCGCGAAAAGTATTTCTCTCTGTTTTGAGCATGAAGAAAGGTTGTATAAACATGGGTTTGGAAAATTTTCGTCTCCTTAAAGAAAGTCTTAATGAAATTCTTGGAACGTGTTCAGAAATTCCTCGAATGTTTTTAATTCTGTCACGCGAAACGACGACGAAGAATTTTCTAAGCAGAAATAAGTGAATGGCACAGTAGACTCTTGAAATGTCTTTATAAAAAATCCAAAAAATTTAAAGGTACGGCCATATAATCGGCAATCTTTGAGATGCAGAAAAAGTATTTACATAACAGAAGATAAATATTTCACGAGACGCTTGTTTATATGACCGTTCTTCGAGCTTGAAACGAGTAGAATAAACTTCTGAAGTTTGTCCACCTATTTCCGTAACACCCTCTACATCTTACTTATCGCGGTATCGATATGTGTACTATACGTGTAAACACCTGACGTACACTTAATCCTAGCTTAATTTGATCTATCTAACGCATACATGTATGTAACTCCATGACTCGACTCAATCCAATTTGCGCCAAATCTATATTTACTCAAACCCATAGATTTTCCTATCTAATCGATATACCAGCTACGTTACAAGCATCGCTTTAATTTTCGATTTTCCGCTCGAATTCAAGAAATCAAATCTATCGAACAATCGTAGCAGCTTCACTATTATCAGAGGTGTAAATGAAACGTTCTCCCGTGGTGGACGAGGGACGAAAACAATTGAAAAATTTGGCGCTACGTGTGCAACATGTATCGCATAATAATATGCCAAGTGGCTGGCCCCGGGAATGCGGACGGATTTGTTAAATAACACGGATGCGAGTGTGCACGTTGGCTGAAACGCTCGGGTGATACACTGTTCTAAACGGCGCGCGACGATTTGATTTACAAAGCAGCGCTACTTCTTCCAACAGGCGCGGCAGATGATTGTTTTCACGCCCGCGGAGAAATGCGATTCAATAGAAATTAACGCGACGCGGCGCGACGGCGCAATTAGAAGAACCGAGTGTGTATATCTAATTGGTAACGCAGCGCCGCAGATTCGAGCGTGTTTTTCTTTCTACGAGAGAGGAAACAACATTTTTTTTTTTTATATCGAATGTCACGATTAAGAATCGTGTCCCAGTTTCAACGGGTTAACGCTCACTGTTCTTAATTGCGGGCACTTGGCGAGTCAAGAAGCACTTTGCGTTCTAACGATCCCACCATAGGAAAACGTACGAGAAATACAGTGAGTAACGAAGGCATTTCAACGACAGGATTCAATGTGTAATTTGTTACAAAAGATTTTGTTATATAGACCATATTTATGAACGTTCACTTATCGGTTAATTACTAATACGCATGAGTAACTTCTGTGTCTAATATAATTATGCATCCCGCGATTCCAATAGTTTCGTTGCTCACTGTACACGCATATGAATGTCAAGAATTTCTTTAAATCTCGTCTGTAATCGTTTAATGGTCGAACTCACAGCGAATAAAAGATCCATTCGCAACAACGATCTCATATTTAACCCTCATCCGTACCTCGCTTTCCCAACTTCAGTTGTCCCTTGGTGTTAAATTGACACAGTGGTAAAAAATTAATATAATGAAGAAATAAATAGTTCACTTTTCAATTTCTTTAAACTAAAAGTCACGCAGTTTCAACTAAATTTACCTACATATGATAGAATAACATCATTTCTCAAGGAAAAAATGTGTCAGGTTAACACAAGGGACGAGTGAAAGTTAAACATATATTCTGAACAAGCTTTTCGGTAAAATTTGTTGGTATAAATAAATAAATAAACACGCTCGGTGTATATAGAAATATTGTACAATAAATTTACATGATATGCATGTCAAAGATTTCGTTGTTATTATACGATGTTACAGAAAATATACGTGTTATTATGCAACCGCTTTAAGTAAGTTGTATAAACACAGACAGTTATAGATTATACAAGGTGTGCTTCGTTGGTGTTCACAACTTTTGAACCACTTAGACTGATTTGGCAAAAAAAGCTTATATATGATATGCATTAATTTTTTAATTAGTCGGATAGTTTAATATGCTACACGTGACTTTATTTCTCAAGTACCTCAAAGGTACTTGATTCAAATTCTTTGGAGCATTTGAAGAAAACGAATTTTGTTCAACCTTGTTCGATACTACTTCGCTACTTATGTATGTTACTCGGCTTAGTTTCAATATTTAAATTCAGTTCAGCTCCACTCTTTTTTGCAAACTACTTGAACACATCTATTGACAGTAACCAGGCATGGGTCCTGTATTCGCCGGGCGAGGGTTAAGAGAAGCAAGTTGGTTCAATATAAAAGTACAAATCGATTCGGTCACCGTTATTCTAACGCACAACAACTATTGTTGTAAACTAAATGTTTAGATTTGATAAAACAAAATCGTCCATGCGTCTGACACCCGACACTAGTAACCGGGCCTCGAAACAACAGCGCAAGAATGCAAAGCGCCTCTTCGGCTGGCAATAGTCGCTGGTACACCCATCGGGCCGAAGGGAAACACGAAAACGGCGATAGAAAGTTCGATGCACCGAGTCTTGGTTAGCGGAAAAACAAAATCGAAGCCACATACCTGCGCGAACGAAAACGGACGTATGTATCCCCCGTTTCGTGTTCCTCGTTCGCTGGAGAGAATACGGGAAACGAAATCTTCTGAGAAGACACACGCAGGTCACCGGAGATCCGCCGGGGAAGAAAAGCGCGGTTGACGTCGCTTGTCAGTGACAACGCTCGGGACACACGTTCGATCGCGAAAGCGCCGTGGAACTCACTGGGGCCTTGTTGGCACGGTGGCGTTAGGATGATTTTAGAAGACCTTGAACCACGCGAGGGAATTCGGACTGCCCGCGAGGAACAACACGTCAAACACTGTCGACAGCCTCCGAGGAATCGGGAGGCATGACCGAACGCGACATCCACGCACGCTGTCACTTTTGTTTACTGTTTCGGAGCGAACCCCTTGCTGATCGGTTACCGCGACCCCGACACGCCAACAGACTCGGCGAATCTTCCGGAATTAATCGCATCGCATGATCATAAATTATTCCATATCGGCGATATGGTGTTCCCTTCGATCTACCACCTATGCACGGTCGGTGGGTCGGAGTAAACAGTGGTAACACCACCGCGAATACAATTTGAATTTTCCACAGCGAATCCTACGCCGCTAATTCTACCGCTCTCCAATCACCACCGTACACAACGCACAACGGATCACCGCACCTGCTGTCACGTGTAATCGTCGCGCACCAAGTATATTCGGATACGATAATAAACGGTGAAGCTTGGTCGCGAGAATGTGAAAGAGACCGGATTCACCGACAACGCCAGACAGCGGCCATTACAGAAATGAACTGGTCCGATGCACGCCGTCTACCGGCGATACCCGACGTTCCCAGCGCGTGCCCCCACCTTGCTATGTACTTCTGCTAATGAATCGAATGCACGGCCGCACGTAGGTATCCGAATGCATGCACAGCCACAATAAAAATATTTTAACGGCGGTATATTCGTAATTGAAATGGATACCTGACTGCATCTTAATGTAAAGATTATACGGGTACAATTTTGTATAAAAATATACAAGCCTCTCAAAACGCAAACTCACAAAACAATACCACGATTAATATTATTTTAAAAAACGTATCGCAACGTTTTTTTGTTCCTGTAACTGGCTGATCAAAGGTCAGATGATTGATGCTAATCGGTATCTGTGATAAAGAAATGCTTCAAATATTATATACGATACCACTTTGAAATCATTACAGATTTAAATTGATTATTATATTAGAAGTATAGCGTTTACTTCCATATTCTGGTTGTATGAGTATCTTTACCCTCGCATTATGTGGTAGATTTAAAAAAAATCCATAATTTGCATTAAGCAAGGTCATTCCAAATATTCTTTTTGGAATTGTACGTAAAATGAACGCTCTAGTGCACGTGATATGACTAGGAATTGGGGGCTGAAGAGAATGCCGCAAAATTATATATTCTAATTTGCTAATTTTTCTGCCGTCGTCCTTGATGCATGAAGTATGTATTACGTTATCGGGGGAAAAAATCAGTTTCCGTCTGTTCGTTAATTTAGCTTGGCTGTTTTTTGCTAATTTTGAAGGCATTCCATTCATTTATAATATGTATGATACCTCTGAATACGAAAAGGCACAAAAGATTCGTATAATTTGGACAAAATTAAGGAACCGTTCTCTTTCAAAAAGGATTTCCTCTACCATAACAGAAATTTATTTGACGATTACATCAAAGTCACTTTATCATTCTAATTATTTTCTTGTCACAAATAAACTTCAAAATAAACCTTTCAAGTCACTCTGATGTAGCTGAAGGTTAGATAAAAGCAGAAATTAAACGGATAAGAACCATGATGTCCATCTAGCAATCATTAATCGTAAATAAGTGATACTTTTATTGTCACTTTTTACTAATCATAAATAAATAATGTAGTTTTAGTTTGCTCAAAAAAGCATCTTTATATTATCGCAAAAGAAAGAAACAACATTCCTCTCTGGTACTCTGTGTGATTGATATTTCGTTTAATTCGGTAAAAGCACAATGTTGTTATGAAAGTAACTCCGTGAGAATGCGTGTAGAGAAATTGTATCACTTGTTCAATGAAAATCTACGAAACAGCGATTTCACGGCACGAAATAATTTATGAGAATTTCCATTCCGACCTTAACTACCATCCGCACGTCTCCATACCGTTAAACAACCACTTTTTTACTGGATAGAATGAAAGTGTGAGAATTCTCATATGCATACAAGTATGCCTTTCACTGTCTTCCAAGTAATTTCAATATCTCCTAAAAATACTGGAATTTCTATGCGGCACCATTACTATAATGTCAACAATGTAGCAATCTTGAGATTGGAATCTAAATTTGTATAAATTTACATGTACAATTTAAATTTGTTTGATCAATTTATTTTCAGTAATTTCTTATTTTCTCCGCTGCGTTGAAAGATTACTTTTCTAATTTATTTTCTACCAATCAGAAATAATAAAAAATAATCTAAATTTAAAGAAAATAAAAAAATTGATGATTGTACAGAATCAAGCCTTTTAAATTCATCTGATTTTCTGCATGCCCTGGTTGTCATCCAGCATGCATTTGTATTTTCTCACGTTTACCACACTGGTTCCTAACCTGTCTTTTCATTACGGCCACGCATGTGTGGCACGTGATAAATTGAAGGAGAGTTTGTTATTCTGATAACGTGTTTATACTGATTTTATATTTGTTAGAAATTAGTGTAAAAATCTCAGTAAGATGGCGAAATTTTGTTTAAGTAAGTTGAACAATTTATCGCTTTCATTTAATTTATACGTGATAGCTGTATATAAGGTTATGAGTATTTCAAATTATATACACGATAATATACAACTTTATTTCTACTTTCGTGTATTTTCCAGTTTATTTGATATTCTGTTTTGTTACAGACAAACCGAGCAAACGAATGCCTGCACGGAAAAGGTATAAAATTGAAAAGAAAGTCCGTGAACACAATAAGAAATTGAAAAAAGCAGCTAAAAAAAATCCTAAAAGTAAGCATTGTACCTGTATAATAAACGATTACAAAAATTAAAAGATGCTTTAGCAGGTGTAAATATATTATTAAATTTGACAGAAAAGCAAAAGGTGATAGAAGTTCCGAACCAATGCCCCTTTAAGGAAGACATACTAAAAGAAGTAGAAGCTATGAAGAAACAACACGAGGAGGAAAAGCAGAAGCAACGTGAAGCTGCTCGTGAAAAGAAGCAAAAGTTTGTTAAAGGAGGTCTACAAGGATTAGTTTCAGCAGCAGAACAGAAACAAGCTGAACATAAAGAGATGGAAGTTGACAATGTACACGAAAAGATAAAAGGTGCTTTAGCTAAAGAAGAGAATTCCTTGAAAGCTTACTATAAAGAGTTCAAAAAAGTATTAGATGCAGCTGATGTTATTCTTGAAGTAGTTGATGCTAGAGATCCTTTAGGAACCCGATGTAAACAGGTAAAATGAAATATACCTGTGAATACAGTTAAGATGGAAAGCAATATAATAAACTACTATACATTATAGGTTGAGGAAGCAGTTCAGTCTGCACAAGGAAATAAGCGATTAGTAATTGTTCTAAATAAGGCAGATTTAGTACCAAGAGAAAACTTAGATCAGTGGTTGAAGTATTTACGTGGCAGTTTACCTGCTGTAGCATTCAAAGCATCTACACAAATTCAAGCAAGGAGATTAGGTAGAAGAAAATTAGGGAAGAAAACAGAGACTATGATACAAGGTGCTACCTGTTTTGGTGCAGAGTTACTTTTATCTTTGCTTGCAAATTATTGTAGAAATATTGGTAATGTTAAAACTAGTATTCGAGTGGGAGTTGTTGGGCTCCCAAATGTTGGCAAATCTAGTGTAATTAATTCCTTGAAACGGAGCAGAGCTTGCAGTGTGGGTAGCACGCCAGGTTTGTTTTACAGTATTATTTAACATCTATAATATATGCAATACTTAATACTTAAATTTAAATTTCAACCTTGTAGGAGTAACAAAAGCCATGCAAGCAGTACAGTTGGATTCAAAAATTAAATTATTGGACTCACCAGGAATAGTTATTGCTAGCCATGCTCCAGGGGAGAACCCTGATGAATCATCGGTAGCTCTCAAAAATGCTGTAAAAGTACAGTCCTTGAAGGATCCATACACACCAGCAACTGCAGTTTTAAAGAGAGTCTCTAAGCCACAAATAATAGAACTGTACGATATACCAGAATTTTCGACACCGGACGAATTTTTCGCTTTAAAAGCGACTAGAATGGGAAAGTTTAAGAAAGGCGGTATACCTGATACTATGGCGGCAGCTCGCAGCGTCTTAGAAGATTGGAATTCCGGGAAAATTAGGTATATATGGAGATTTATATTGTATTGTCTGAAAAATTCAAATATGTGTATTTTTGATACAGATACTATACCGTACCACCTGAACAACCTACGTCTCAAATATCCGCGGAAATTGTGAGCCAGATGAGTAAAGAGTTCGATATCGAAAGTTTCGCTGCGGAAGAAAAAATGATGCTCGATACTTTCGAAGAAGAAACTGCAAAAAAATCGAAACTTGATCCCTTGTTAATTGAAACTACCGGGCCGGTACTATCGGCAATGGAAGTTGAGAAGGAGAAAGAAACAGTGTGTATATTTGTATATACATATTTGTAACACAATATTCTCAATTTGCTAATTATAAATAAATATCAATATTTGTAGCAAATTAAAATCCAGAACAAGTTGAAAAAAAAATTGGAAAATGCAAAGAAGCATGCGCAACAGACAAGAAAGAAGAAAACAGATCCAATGTTTGAATTAGAAGGCAATCAGAAATTGAATAAGTTGAATAAACTAGCTTTTAAGAAAGAGAAAAAAGATCGGGCTAGGAGAGGTGCGTATTTATGCATAACAGTGTATCTTCTATATAGAACAAAAAATGATTTTTTTACTTACAATTATGTAAATGTTACAGAAAAGGTATCCGTTCAACTGTCGAGTCAACTAGAAGGATTCAATCTATCGACTCGTGACGATTACGACTTTAATACAGATTTCGTTGAAAAGTAGGCATTGAAAAAGTATTCAATGATTATGAGTAAAACTGACGAAATGATTGAAATCAATCTGTGGAAAATACATTTGTATGTATAATGTAAATAATAAGAATCGTTTGAACTAATAAAGAGGAACGTTTTTCTATGGTTTTCCGTTCTGCTTGTCACGATTAAAATTATGAGTTCCCCATAGTCATTATGTGTTATTAGTCAACAATTAAATATCTTGTCATACGTGGGAAATGAAGAAATTAAAATTCATTCTGTTCAAAAATACAAGGACTAAGAAAAATTAAGTACTAGTTAAATTAAAAATTAGTTAACCTATCGAAAACATTTTTCAACCGTTTACACGCAACCGAACTGAAAGATTTATAGTGTATCTGTGACTGGATTTTTTTAATTTACTTTCACTAGACAAAAAAAGTCAAATTGCAAACACATTGGCAAGTAAATTATAAATAAATAGATTTTAAACGGACAATCAGCATCAATAGTCTAGGCCTTCTTATGGCGCCAAACTTCGAGAAAATGAAATGGAGTGATAACATCTTTTTCTACAAGATTAATGATCCAGAAAAATTTCTTCTGCCTACGTTTATTCAGTTAATTTCGAGTGTTAGTGTTTTGGATGGAAGAAGTAAAATATATACAATAATTGAAGAATTCGTTGCGTGTACAGCAAGTATGACGAGCGTAATACGCTTATCTCTCCTCCACATAGGCGTCAGTTTCCCATGGAATGGTGACTAACAAGCAACTCTCAATAACACAAAGATATCTAGCAAAATTTCTACATATTCTCTATATGAGCGTATTTTATTTGTCCAATCTTGTTTGTCACGTCTTTCAACGAGAACAAATGGTACTTATTAGCATAAACCAACCAATTGAAAATAATCCTACGTGTGTTTGAAGTTTTTAAAAAAATTATGACACGCTATGTCTATTTTATAATATTCTCAATCGCGAGGCAGAGGCTGTGAGAGGAAGCGTAATTGGTGAACGCTCTTATCAAGAACAGCATGGGGACAGACAATACAGGGTGTCTCCGTAAAATCCGAACACTTAACCATTTGCACTGGCAGCCAATTCACAGATGCGTGTAATTTCGATGTGTGTGGCACGTCATTCCAGCACAATATGTTAAATGTCTCCTTTGTTTGTAAATGATACTAGAAAATGTGTCAAACATAAGTAGTCTGAATGGTTTCGAAGGAGAAATACGATGTAAGAAACAATTTTTGTCTACATCCATTTTTTTCGAATTTTCAATGTAACTGGTATTTTTTTGCAGAGAAACATATTTTCTCTACTGCATCTTGCAATGCATGTCTGAGTTATGACCTTGACTTGATCTTGAACACCAAAAGAGTGATCAAATTCCAAGACAGTGTTAGGATGGTATATAAACTCACTGTTTATTTTAATAAATCAAAATGATGTCCCTCGGCAGCGATACATTGTTTAAAACGAGCAATCGTTAATGATCTTTTCACTATTCCTGACAAAATAACAACACAAGCTCTAATTATTCGATTCATAATATTTTCTGGAGTTCCTAGCAGTATCTTACAATTTGATTACCTTTTTGGTATTCAAGGTCATAACTCAGCATGCTCGAATGCATTTTCAACATTATTAAAAACATAGGAGACATTTAGATATTTGGGTTTTTCTCAGACATCGTGTATCATCAAATTGGAGCGACGCTTGAAGTAAGGCAATTACTAGCGAGCAACGAGTAGGGATGTACGAATAGTCCCGAGTTGTGAGAACCAAAGCTTTGAACAAAGGCCGGAAAGATTCGAGTGTGATCGGTCGAGATCTTGATACATATTCTCGTATTGTTCGGGTTCCCGAGATCCAGCTATTAAGGGTAGTGTATTCTGAATTAAACGCTATATTTATTTTTCAGTAAATTAAGAAATAAAAAATTATTGCAACTTTTTCAATATTTTGTTCACACATCATTTATTACACTAATCCTTCTAAGTTCACAAAGAAAGTCAAGTCACTTGGTCCACATTTGATAGCGTTGTTCTGTTTTAAAGGGTGTACGAATATTTTTTTTACCCACGCTATAACTGCTTCGCAAGAAGGTCTTCCTTTTGAAGCACAATAATCTTTTCGTTCAAGAAACATATTTACTGCTTGAAATACACGTTAACAGTTCGAGAACCAACCGAAAACTAACGCTGACAACGAGAGCGTCCCAAACTTACTGCAAAAAGTAACAGCAAGGAAGTATTTGTGCGTATATTAGTCACAGACTACGTAGTGTTATGTCTATGTGTAATGCCCTTTTATATATACAAAAGTATCGAGCTACGAGAAGGTACAAGAATTTATTGTTTGGGCAGGCAATTGATTATGACTTCAGCGCACCCGGCTAGCTGAGCCTCGACCTGCTCTCGAACAGTACATGTGTAAGACCTTTTCGAAACTTTCTTCGAAATTTGTACAGTATATATATTCTCAAAATGTTATATACTACCGAAATATGTTAACAACAATTATTATCTACAAACTTTTACACCAGAATATACCCTTAATGGCTGGATCACGGAATCCCGATCGCGTCCGATTTTTGTCGAATCGAACCGACGTCGAGCTTCCTACTCGTGCTTATAGACTGACCATTGACAATGAACCTAGTCTCGGGATTTCGAAACTACTTAATCAGGATCCCGAACAATACGGGAGTATCAAGATCTTGCCCGATTTCGTCCGAATTTTGCCGTCCCGTCCCGAGCCCGTAATATCAGTTAGACTCGCACACCCCTACTAACGCGTGTCGCACTATTAATATATCTGACGCGTTTAACAACACTTCGGTCATTCAGCTACGAGGCTCCACTAAAGTAACCGCAACAAAGTGTAACGGCTTCTGTTCACTACCACGGTGTCTATCGAAGATATATTACCTGTGCACCGACGTTCTTTGACTGTAACAAATCACTGGGATTTTATTTCCACGAGGAAGCAAAATGAGCAAGGAAGACTCGAAAGCACCGAAGGTTTCATTTCCGTTAAAACCACCAGGACAAGCGAAAGTATGGAACGTTGTCGAAGTTGCAATCAAGGGTAGCGATAAGCCGCCGATAAAATTCAGCATTCAAGAGGTACCCGAGGACAGGTACGAAGATGTCCTTGATCACATGTGCACCTATTTCATCGCCGATGAGCCTATATGCCAATGCACCAGTAAGTTCATAGAATTTTTCAAATGTTAAGTAGAACTTCCATTATTTGTCAGTGTACGGGACAGAGGCAATAAAATTTTTAAAAATATGCAGTGTGGGATAGAATTTGTGGTAAGACCGAGAAGGGGAATGATTGTTCTTGTGAAAACAAACAAAAAATGTGGTTATGAAAGTTTTTTGTACGCAGCTCGGTTTTCAAGAAAATTTAATTTAGTGAACTCAGACATGCATACGACTGAATAAGACTTGGCTGGTTGTCATGTCATTGCGTTACTGATTATTTCTACCTATGTTGGTGTTTATAAATATTGACAGGATATGGTTCAAATGATACAATAGGTTTGTGCAGATTATTTGTTTTAATCGTGGTAGAAATATTATTGAAAATGAACACAGAGTTCTGATCGACGAATTAAAGAATCCATCAATCATTAGATATCAGGAAGGTGCAGAATTCATCGTACCTACATTAAACATTGTGTCTAAAGAAGCTTTCCCGAAGTTTTAATAAATCATATCATTCTATGACCAGCCTAAAGTATTAGAGTAGTTTCGGTAAGCCTTATCGTAAAATTATAATTAAGCCTAAATAATATCACTACGTTAAGTCTCCTTAAGATAAGGACATCAATACTAAATCGAAAACTGTGAACGAAGGCCAATTTTAGCTTTGCGTGTGTAAACGTCACAAAAATGCGTAGTGAGAATAAGGCCACATACGTGTTCTCATATGACGCTATCATTTGTAAAATGATATCGTGAAAAGCATTATCGTGTCGTGGCAGTATTTATGCTTTAATTGTACGTTTTCAACAGAAGGACTGAAGCGACTTGAATATAAAACTTCGAGTCCAAGATTAGAAAAGAAAAAAATTTTCAGTTTTCCCGATCGTCTTTTCCAACCAGCTTACATTTTTCAAGCGTGATGATTAGTGAGTACCTACGTCATTCTAAGTTTATCAGCGATGATTCGCAATTCTGACTTGTTTACATTTCCATATTATCCGTGAAGTTATCACATAGAACCAGATAAGTTTCAAAGTACAGGTGGAAGTGTTCCTATCAGAAATAATGTACTTATACTTTCATTTCATGATTCCTTTTTCAAATTTACGTCCCAACGACCACTTCTAATACTATATACCAGCTAACATTATAATCGAGTCGTGTTTGCGGGTCTTGCTCCCGACGATCGTCACTCGAACTTTAAATATACAAACTATTTTTTGACACGAAATAGATAACACTGTGCACGAGGCTAGAGATAAATATAGAAAAATGCTGAGAAGTGTGCAATACCGTAAACATACACAAGGTTGTCGTTACGATAGAACTTTAATTACGCGCGAGTAGAAAGACATGGTGGTACTTCGAATAGCAAGGAGTTTAATTACTAACAACACCGTTGATCTTTCTAGATGGGAAAGATGATCCGGAGTTCGTGCTATCCTTCCGACGATTTTGGACATCGATGTTAGCCCAAGGTTTAACGGTCGGAGCCTTTACCGAGGACCCTAATGGCGGCAAACCGATCCTTGCAGGCGTAAACTTACTCGGACTGTCCTTCAAGGATGATGATTCTAATATCGACGAAATTGTCACGGTGAGCACCCGTTAGCATATCACAATATACAATTTGAGAGTCATATCTTCTTTTTGGTTGAAATTAGAAAGTACGTATTATAGACGATGTTTAAATAATTCATCAGTACACTCTAAAGATTTCGTGCGTTATTTTTTCATTGTTTAATACAGTCGACAGACCTCACGATATATTAAGCTGTCAATAAAATATACATTTTCATTTTTAAAAAAGTGCTACTGCAAATTGTACATTCAAATGTAAATTACTGCACTTTTATTTTCGACCACTTTTTCCTAATTGCAATGAAAACAGAAAAAATGACTTGTATTTCGAATTTTGTGTGCAGCGTCAGAATATTCGTAAAATATTGAAACGGTTTGCAGTCGGAAAGGGCGAAGCAAATAATCCACGTGATGACGAAACTGAGTAAAACAGTTTGCCCATTTGAGAAATATGGAATAGACACATACTTGACCGCTATGGGTCTTTCCGTGCACCCGTCGTATCGAGGAGCAGCTTTGGGCAAACATATTCTTCAGGCCAGGTACAGAACAATCTTTATAATTAACTAATCGCAAGCAGATTAGAGTTGTTCGAATACGCCGAATGTTTGAGTGATTTGAAGGTTGACCCAAAAATACTACGATATCGGGTATGCATACAGTAGATTAGGGGTGACGAATTTCTCTGCTGGAAGCCGCACGAGTCTTCACCGTCAGTCTGCTGATTACCCCCACTAGACTAACTGGCAACCACTACTCTACGTAGCTTGACAGAAAGTTATGTAATACCAAGACAAAGACGAAATGATAAGTCGACGGAGAAAAATGGGTATGGAGGGGGTGTACGCTTAAGACTCCCAATCAACTGAACAGGCAAGTAGGGGCAGGAAAACGTGTGGCACCGGAACTGACAGTTTGTCACCTCTGCGAGTAGATAAAAGATGTACTTGCACATTCAGGCCTCTTATAGTAAGTATATATAGAATATGGAACACCTCGCCGATTGCAATGACCTTGACATATATTATAGAGGTCAATGTAATTTGAAGAGTAAATCTGTGTATACATATATATGTATACTTTTGTGTGTTTGGATACATATAACAGCCTTATTATTTATATTACGTTATGTGAATCATCATGATCACTCATAAATATAGATAAGGTCTGAATCAGTGCAACGAACTCCATTGTTCAAATGTGCCTAAAGCGTATCAGTTAAAGATTCTGAAAGACCAAAAAGGGAAGCGGTGGAGGACAATCCATTAGCGAATGAGGTATTTGAGGCTTTCGTGTTCAGATTTAAGGCTTCCGGGTGCTAGGGTTACAGTGTAAGTTGCGTTAACCAGGGAAATGTTATTGATGTTTCGTCGGTAAATTGTCCAATGGACCGTTTAAAAAATGTTGATTATATCTGAAAATCTCAATCACTTCATTTGCACCAACCTTAGGCAAAATCGTTGCAGAAATCAATGCCATAATCAATTTGATTCGAATTGGATGTATTTGGCTGAGTACCTTAGCTCTGAACATCTCTTGCAAAGTATTCCGACAGCTACAATTAAAGCGTATATGTCGCATCTTCGAAACGAGATTAAAGAACATTTAAATAACTTCTGTCGCAGGGAGTCCATAGGTCGCGAGTACAACATTTCGGTGACAGTAACATGGTTCACATCGCCGATCTCGCAGACACTGGCGGAACGATGTAATTTCGAGAATCTCGTCGTGAGAGATTATGATGACATCGTGGACGAGAAGGGGAACAAAATTTTTCCGGGAATTGAATCGAAGAGGGTCAGAATCATGGGCAAGAGGCTTCTTTAAAGATTTTGGTGGACGAATCGTGTTGGAATTTCACGATTCTTAGTGCAGTGAACCGAATAAAACAATTTCACACGTTTAGAAAAATTTACTTTAGATACGCATGAACCTTGAGTTTTTGCTCTACAGAATTTGATGATGGACAAGTTTTCCTTCAATGTTTTCGACTGCGTTGAACGTTCTGGAAAAACGACGTCTTTCTAATTTACTTTAAGTCGGAAAACTTTTATTTGGGTAATCACTCGAGGTTACCTTTGACTGTCATAACTCTCTTTAACATAACGAAAACTTTATAGGAAAATGTTTCCCTCAGTCTTTATTTGTCTCTAGCGAAGTTTATCTCATCAAACATTTCCCTATAAATATTAACTTCTTTAATTCAACCCGAAAAATGAATCGTGACGGGACAAGTAAAAATGTTAACGTTAGTTTCGCTATCTCAACGACTTATTAGTACAATTGTTATGTAAAGATGGATACACTGAATTTTGTATTATAAAATACATTTTACCTAATTAATCTAATTTATCTAATTTTACCAACTACGTACGTCGTTCACGAAAGTATTTGAATAAGCCACTAGGATACGAAAAAGATTATTTATATGACGAATCCTATAGAACAACTATAAGTTAAACATACATTCAGAATCTGTCTCAGAAATAATCTTTCTTTATCTCAATGGCTTATTCAAACACTTTCGCGATGAACTATGTATCACCCTACAGAGATAATCCGAATATCTGTACAAAAAGTACAGGTCTCGATATTTCATAATACTGACGTCAATAGTTAACCATGACAGGCAGAATCAATAATTGTTTCCTTCCAAAAGTATTCAGCAACCGCACACATCCCAAGAGGAAAGGCGGAATAGTTGCAATACCGTTCGCGACACAAAATACAGGAAAAGACAGGAGTGACAACTCGATGCTCGTACATTGTTGTACGCAAAGAAAAAGGAAACAAGACTAGCAAATTACCCGATAATGGAGTAACCAGTTTGAATTTTCGTCGACGGATAAATTTATTCTCGATACTGTTGCTCGCGATTCGGACGACACGCCGCGGAACGAATAATACGGTTTTCCATTCCACCGTCCTAGGAGACTTTAAAAAGAAAACTTCATATATTGACTGCCATGGTGGTCACCGATGACGAAGAAACATTGCATTTCTAATCAGAAATATTCAACATTTTATGAATATAATTAATTAGTCGTAGATTAGTAATGAAAGTAATGAGTGTTCAAGTAAATACTTTTATTGTTAATAACAAAGGCCTGAACAGATGTGTTTTACCATAATACTGTCCCAACAGTAAGTGTGGCATTCGACGTGTTAATGAACGTTCCTCGAACACCCAGGTTCGCCAAACACGACGCCCGTCGAATATGAATTGCACAGAACGTTCGGTACGGCCTAACTGTTTTATCATCGATTGCAAGCCGATATATGCGGGCGATCTCGCTTCCGTTGCCTCTGATAAGCGACGACATTTGAATGCATTCAGGATACGCGTCATGAAATTCGGTCGGGGTGCGCACGTGTCGGTTCTCCGACGGAGTGAAATGCGGGCTGGCGAGTACATTAATTCGATTCGCTGTTATTAACGAACTTAAGCCTGCCAAGTTCGATCTTTGTTCGTTATCACCAGCACGATAACGTTGCAATCGTTCGACGCGATGCTGCGGATTGCGCGATTACGCGTTTTCCTGTTCGGAGTATCAGCCGCGTAGACACTTCGTCCCACGCATACTACGGTTAACCTGTTAATCGAAATATTTCGCCATACCAGGAAGGCAACTCCTACGGGGATGACGAGTTTTTTCGTCATGAAAATTTTTAATGGTGCCCATTACGTTTTACGTCGTTCTTACCCATTAAAACCTAGCGTGGCCATATGGGCTCATTGTGAAACGAGTTGAACAGAAGTTAATTTCCCGGTTAACAGGTTAAATTAGTATCCACAGAGACGTATATACACGTGAAGCCGACGATACTCCTGACAAATCGACGTTTCAGACGAGGGATCGAGGAACACGAGTTCTCTAATGCTCCGAATGTCACACGCCCGTCAACGAGGAAGTGACTTTTTGAGAAATTGAACGGGGACCACGATATGCTTGAACAGGTTTACAGAAACCACCTGTTGTTGGAGAAACATAATAATTTTCGTGATATCGAATTTCCAATTCCGCGCTGACCGTCGACTTCTATTTGTCGATTTTCGACTAACAACTTGTTACTGTCAGTTTCGGTTCATTCGAAGAATTGGTTTGAGAATAAAAACAAAAAGAAGTAGAGAGAACGTAGATATTGTCAATCAGTCACTGACACATTTATCATGAAAAATAGCAAGAACCCTAATAGAATAACGTAACAATGTATTCTTTAACCCTGATCTAAAGGTAAATTAATAGGCTTCTTTAAGCACTGATATTTAAAAGTCTACCGGCATGCGCCGAGAGGAGAATATTCAACGCACCTGTCCGGGGCGAACATGTGAAAATCGTGTCGAAGAGTGGCCGCGGGTCGTGTCGGCGTTTCGCCCACGTTTCGCCAGGATCCCCGCACATGCGTACGGGCCCACAAACTCCTGCACACGAACGTCACCGTCCACACGGAAGTGTAAGTAGGGAAGCGGAGTTGCCGGGAGTTTGTTCGCCGCTGTAGTCGCGTTCGGCGCGTCGTACGAGCAAGTACGTTCTCGTTCGTTCTCATCCCGTTGCTCCCGGTTCTTCCCTCGGCCAACGTTCGCACCAAAATCCCCGCATCCCCCTTTACTCGATTCCGTCATCTCACGTCGACACTTCACCCCCCCATTAACCCCTAACGATTTCTCTCAGACGGCAGCTCGAGAAACAAATCGCCAAGGATAATCAAAATATGTGCCGATCTTAAGAGCGGCTCAAGGATCCTCGTCGAAGGTGAAAAAAAACAAAGGCTGGCATTTGGGTACTCGCCGTTCCTCTCGATTCGTTCTTCGGCCGGTACGGAGAATTTAATTGTCGTCGGTGTGTTCGATCCCCCCCTCGTCTCTTCTCCCACCCCCACGGTTCTCCTTTTGTCCCGCCTTAATGGAAACTCGCATCCACTTAATCGAGACCAGTCTCTTTGAACCGAACTCCCGACGGTGGAAAGTAGGATCACCGGCGCAGTGATTAACTCGGTACTTAACGTGGTCCGCGCGCGATCACTCGTCGTTCTTTCTACGGCTGACCCCTCGAAAAGAAACGCGGATTTAGAGACTGGAGAGATTGAGACGGGGGTTGATTAACAAGCGCGGGAATAATGGCGAACAGTGTGTGGGCCTCGTTGATTGTTAAATGCGGATATTCTTCGCTACTGGGACGAGATGTCGTGATGAATTTGAGGAACGTAAATTGTTATGTGTTCACTGATACAATCATTACGTGAATGGGTCCTCTGTTATTATCTATACTAATTTATTGAAAATTAACGGGGAACGTAGGTATCCGTTTAGTATGCAGTATGGTATAAAGTTGGGCTGAATTTTCTTCGAATAATACATAGTGAAAAGTAGCAGTATCGAAGATCGTCGTCCTGATCTTTAAGTAGTTAATAAAATTAAATAATTGAGAAAAGAATAAAATACTATTTTATTATAAAATTTAGAATTTATACGGTTTAATCGATTAAAAATGGTGAAATACGTTTTTCGTGTCTTTTTTTCGTTGTTCGAAATTCTTTATCCTGATAATGAGTTTGCCCGTTTCTGCTATAAAGACGCGCTTTGTTTGGTGCAGAGAAGCCTAGAAATTTCGTCTATGAAAGTTAAAATAGAGAGGACAGGTCTATTAAAGTAGCTAGAGGGAGGTCTGGCGAATACGTGCAAGTTTGTGTATTCTAAAAGTCTTATGCATCGTCTAGATGTAATCATTTCGAAATGGAATGTTTTTTCATACAATTCAACGACCCTGGTCACCGGGACCACCATGTGAGTCAACGTGTTCAAGCGATCAAAGTCTCTGGCTCCCCTAACTGGATGTGTATTTTTGGTTCCTTTTATATAGTAGCTGTGCATTTCGATTTCGTTTTTACACGAAGGAAGAAATTCTGTGCTGAATGTGTGACATTGGCGCACGCATCAAAGCAGGATTGAATCAATTTTTCCGCGCGTTTCAATCGCGTCGGGAGCTAAGCCGTCGAACCGAACGAATTTAGAAAAATATTTAGAAGGCGTTGTATTTAGCTACGCGGAGATGGATCTGTCGGGATAAAACGAGTTGACGAGTTTAAAGGTAGACAGAAACATAACCTGTTGCAGATCGTGAAATCAGAGATGTAAAAAGGTTTGTTTGGGATTACGTTGGGTTGTTTCGATACGTAGAACCTCTGGACGTTCCTCTCGTTGTCGCAATCTGGTTTTCAACGAAAAGTCAAATCATGTGTCTATTCTCTTCGAAATGATTCCTGACTATTGATCCATTTGAAGGTAATTGTTTCGCTGTTGGACAAGAAGAGTGGAATTTTGGAAGTGATTGATGTATTCTTGATGGAGAAGCGTGTCTCCAGTTGATTGCATCGAAATGGAAACAAGGTCGAAGTCTGACAGTTTTCATTCGGTTTTCTCGAATTGGTGCAGTGTTTGAGGGTGGCTTGAACGTTTGCACGAAAATTTTACAAAATGATGCTCGTCGTTTTGGGTCTTGAGTGAAAAAAACTAGAATAGTTACGGACTGGTCGAAGACAATTTGTGAAATTTTAAAAATATAATATCAGCGGATCTTTATGGATTCGTGCTCGATAAAAATGTCACGTTTTTTCTTTCGTTTCGTTCCAAAAACGAACTCAAACAGGAAGAAGAAATGTTCGACAATTAAAAGTAGGAAGTTTAATCGTGTCTCTGGCGCACAATCGATCTCGACTCTTTCGTTAATTTTAAACTCGCTAAATGCAAAGTACTTGTTCTACGGTATCAATTTATAACTGAACGATTACATCAAATTTCCATTCGCGAAATACTATCGGGTATCGACTATTCGCGATAATAAATTATTTTTCAAACTATGATAGCGTGACGAAGGGGTTGTAAGTAACTTGCAATGAAATTCATAATACATAGATCCTAGAAAAAACGAGTAATGCAATAGGACGAACATTTTCCCTGTATCTAGTCTCTGAATCGAACCTGTTAAGAGGGAACACGGACGAATCTGGATTAAAAATACGACAAAGAAACGTTTACTCGCATTCGTTTGATTTCCAGCAAATCAGTCAGTTTCAATTTTATTGGTTCGACTTCCCTTTGCTTTTTCGTTCACGTGTTCATGACACTTTATACAGACTTTCCGCTGTAATTAAAAATTTTTAATCATCTCACTTGTGTCTGTTTTGGCTGAATCAGTTTTCTAATATTACATAATTTCTATATATAAAAATGTTATATAAACAATATTATATATATATAAAAATTGACGTACACATGTGTGTCAATTTTTCCCCACTTTCTATATGATGCATGATACAGCTTATTTTTCTAGATTCAAAAACTCACTTTTCCGACAATGTTATGGTTGCATTAGAGAATGTACCTATGGAATTTTTCTTGCTGAAGGCGATTCTCTCGTCTGAATATGTTTGATTTATGTGATTCGATTAATACGCGGGTGGTTTCGACCCGACGGAAATGTGACACAATAGAGAAATGGATTATTGATCGAAATCCACACGTGGCATTATTGCCGTGACCGTGTTCGTAACTCAAAATCGATGAATCTCTTTTAAATTCAAATCGAGCCACGTGGGCCACGGGAGTTCCAGTGCGACAGCAAATGGAAAATACAATTTCCAATTAATTCGGATATAATACGCGAAAACAAGGTTGCCGTGCGTTGCCCACATTTCCATAACTGCTTGTTTTTTTTGGTTTATTTACTTCTTCTATGATTTTTTTTATTAAATCGTACCATAATATCTGTATCAGTGTTGTGTTCACATTAATTCTTCATTCTTTGTACCTATCTATGTAAAGATTTATATTTGAAAAATAACCCACTATACTACAGACATATTTGAATTGAAAAAAATTGAAATTCTGTTGAAATGTTCAGATTTATCGGAATAATAAAGCGTCTCAGAAGTTATTCGACGCTGGTTTTTTCACGAATGAATCTGCATGAGTTTCGACAAAAATCATTGTTATCCGACCGAGCATTTTCTGGCGATTGCGGCGGTGGTGCTCGAAGATCGTTCCTCGAATTTCTCTCCATCGACCGCGCATGTAGATAAGCATGAAGCGTGCGCGTACTTTTTTTGGTTCCGTCGAGTCGCGCCGAGCGACTTGGTGTGTGCCGTCTTCCCCCGCGTATAGAATTCTCGGTTCCTGCACAAAAGGTCAGCCCGAGAAATAATACGTCGGCCATAACGAAACGCTTCCACGTAGAGGGGAAACGTTACGTCTGCCCGGAACAGGTTCTTCTTTTTCGCAAATCCTCATTTTTATGAATCCCATTTGCAACTGGTCATGTACTGGCCTTCTGTATACGTCAAGGGCCGCATTGTGTTCTTTCTTTCTGCCTTGGTGTTTTGGGAACAGGTTTCCAATAATATTAATGGTCCAGGTATCGAGTAACAACTCTCGTAATTGGTAGATTTTTTCATTCAGAGTTAAGCTATTCTCTTCCAATATGGTCTATTCGAGTGCAAATAATGGTCGGTGAAACATCTCCGTTTCATTCAACTGTTAATTGGATGACATTTCCATCATCGACATTAAATCTTGCTTGCTGAATTTTAAGTAGTTGTAATACAGGATATTTGAGATTTAATTTGATTATTGTAATTTCCTACTAACTGTTTAGTTCAATTATTGGAATTTCCTGATACTTAGGGGCGGGAATTTTGAGTAATTAACAGATTGCCTGTCACGGCGGTTGAATTTTTGAACAGTTTACGATTTTGTAAATATAATTAGAAGTGAAGCGGTGATTCAAGTAAGAAGTATTCCGGTCAATACGTAAATATTCATGTGCAATAAACACGAGTACAGCGTAGTTGGTAATACGAATATTATGGTGTCGTAAAATGCGAGAATCGTTTCGTCAATAAATACAAGAATGAAAAGTGGCTGGAATGTACGGTGTTACATGAACGAGTCAACTCGTCTTCGTCGGCCAACAGGTTAACGCAAGGTGTCACCGAACTGGTGGTACAACCTGAAAAGCGGGTGAAAGTACATGCAAAAATATGTCGAAGATGAAACTGCATTCGGTAACTAGTACGTTTATCGTTAAAATCGGAACAATTCTTGCCGACCAATAATACCATATCTTCGTACTTACAATGTCTCACTATTTCCTATTGTCTGTTGTAATAGAAATTTTCTTTTTCCATTTCTCCGATCACAGTATACAATAATTCTTCGCACAAAGTCTCAAATAAACATTTTGATCGTTTCTTGTTCCGCCATTTCACACGGCGGAAATAAAACAATTTCCTGAGCCCATTAAAATGATACCTTCGTTCGAAAACTAAACAAGCATTCCCGATCCGTTGGCATTATTAAAAGTACTAAATTGCTCTTTTCTCAAAACAAGGTTTTTGCAGATACGTACTGCCTTAGCAGGGCAGTATAACCTTCACTTTTCTGCTGGCTCGCAACACGTTCACTACTAAACTAAAATAATACCGTCATCGATCCATCCCAGACTCGACACTATCGTCGCAATAAACGCATCCCCGTGTACAAAAGGTTGCAGAGCGCATTCATTCGACAATTTTAAGAGGATTCCCTGCAGGCTTTGCGTCTCATTGTTCGCATCCGCGTCCCCGTTGAATCGACCCAACAAGATCCGCTTCTTTCGAGTCCGCGACTTTATCGTCCCCGGATGATCGTCCAGATAGCATTGACTTCCAAAGTCTGATCCCATTCTTTAGGCTTCGTGTCGCAAGCACAACGAGTTCTATTAGTTCGCAGCGGTTCGATTCACTCGACCAAAAACAAATGCGAGTATTAACCTCGGGACAGGGCAGGGGACCAGCTTCGTTTCTTTGTCTCCGACTTCTTTTTTTCTTTTACGCGTCCTCGAGTTCGTGGGTAATCAGGGGACAATCGCGTACTCCACTTGATTTTACGCGTTCTTACGGGGAGGTCTGCGCGATTGAAACCGGGGAAGATCGATTCGTACCCGGACCAGTAGCAGCGTCCCTTCTCAATCGAGCCGGAAAATAGTAAACCCCGACTTACTGCTAGTTCGACGAGTACCGAATAATTCGAGTAGTCTCTGGAGAAGTCCATTCAATTTCCTTTGGTTCTCTGTGGCGCGTCGAATCCTTTGATCCCTCATGAAATTGCTAATGTCTCGTTGTCCGTGTAGGATACGCGGCGCTGCCGGGACCCGGTGGCGGTGCTCCCCCTCCCCAACGAGGATGCCTAAGGATCGATCGTAACCGGAAATCGAGCGGGACCAGGGGGAATATCGAGACGGTCCGGTGGCAGAGCCAAAAATCGAGCGAGAGGCCAACCGACGCAACGAATATGAAGTCGTCCGACGCTTAGCCGGTGGTTTCGGGCCTCGAACAAGCGATGAATTACTCGCGGGAGGTTCGCCGAGTAAAAACCTGAATTCTTGCGTCTGCTGCGGAACGAGAGAGAACGAAGAACCGAGGGAACGTGAAGAGAGAGAGAAAGAGATAGGGAAAAGAGCGCGACGACGACATGTCCGAGGAACAACGCGGAGAACTGGGTACAACCGATCGGAATTATACGAGGCTGGATGGACCGATTCAGGGGAATCAGACCGTGGATCAGCTTGACAGCATCCCGGAATACCTAAACGTCACGCTGCGCGATGTCAACGGGACGAAAGAGATCGACTCATTCTACTTCTACGAGGTGAGTTCAAGAAAAACAACCGAGCCCTATAAATATATGCCTTTCGAAAGACCCGAGACAGCTAATCGGCCGTCGCGAACATCGTTAGCTTCCGTAAAGACTCCGGGCCAGAGTTGAAGACTGTTTTACTAAGACACGAGAAACAGTATCTGAAAATTTATTTCGGATGTTTAAATTGGAAATCAAGCGTTTAATCCTTCCAGACATAATGGCTGCAATTAAACCAATTCAGTTTTCAATTCTTTTCGAAGCTAATTTTCTTTTCTAAAGAAACGAAGAAAGCATCGTGCCACAAAGTGTTTACTTCATACGGCGTAATTAAAACATTTTTATTATGTCCAATCACTTACGGAGCTATCATTCGACGCAATTTGTCAATAGGTTTCGCCTCGATTTGATTGGTACACAATGTGCCCACGGCCGGAGACGGAAAGGGACACGAAGATAGATGGTATTGCCATTTCCTTGGAAAAATATTTTACCAGAACGAATCCTCGTTAAATGTAACACCCACGATCCCATTATTTCGTTGTCCCCATCGAGTATAGTTCGGAAGTAGCTGCGACAAAAGAAAGTTTAGAAGATAGCCCCTGGAGAAGGCGTATTTATGGTATTTCCTTGAAGAACATAATGGAAAACCGTGATAACGTCGGATCCGCGTTCTTCTTACGTCCCGCGGGTTTCTTTCATTTCATCGCGATCTGTGACGACATAAATTTCCTCGGAGAGACCTACAGTTGTACAGGATAGGGAGACGATGTTTCAATGCCGCGTGTCGCGAAATTGCTGATCCGACGAATCGACCGTAACGGGATGATACTGGGAATCGTGAGACCTGGGATCGTCGAAAACTAATTTCACGGAAACACAATTGTTGTACGGTATTTCGATTCGAGGAACGTAGTATATTTATAGATAGATGCAATGACAAATTTTTTACGTAAAAATATCGATTCTTCGCGAAGAAACGATTCGTCGGAAAATTCTCAGTAATATCCATTTTCTTTCGTAGGAAATAAAAGGTAAAGAATGTACAGTGTTAGTAACCCATGTGTACTATGCAGTAAACTATTACATTAAAACTCTTTTAATTAATAATGTATCTAGTTTCAACTTTGGTTTTGGGTCAGATCGATTCTAGGAACAAAAACGAAATCGGGCATTTTGTATTGTTACTACTATATTATGTTGCACTCGACATTGTGCAACAGAAACTAGTATTAAGAGATACAAAGCGCCCCACGTCTGAAATTATTGATTTTTATGTTTTGCTTAAGATCAGCTTGAATGTAATTCCACGTGCAAAGAAATTTATACAGGCATAAGGTCATTTGCAACATCTTAGAAACGAAATTAAGTTTTGAAAGAGTATCATTTGTCATATTTTGTAACATAAGTAAAGTACAAGTAAAGGCGATTCTTAAATGTGTAGATTTGTATACGTAACCAGTGCGTGGGGTAGATTTCAAGTGGGACAATCTGTATTATTATACTGCACTCTACAAGCGGGTACACTCACATCGAACCTCATATTGGAAGCTATAAACGTCCAACTAAATCGCGTATAACGATACTGTCTCTTACATCTGTCATTAAGGTATGTGTCTTCTTTCGCGAATATACGTAAAGATCAATGTTTCAAACATAAGCGTTCTATAACCCTCTAAATTCTAACCACCGAACTAATTCGGTTCCGTCGTATCTTCTTCTTCCCTTTCCTTTTATATTCCATTAACCGGCGAAGCGGTGCGGTCCATGGCATCGGAATCACCCCGTACATCAACCGAAACAAGTTCGCCGACCCTTTAGCGATTCGATTTGGCCAATCGAGTCGAATTCCGGCGATATTTTCGTTTCCGCCGTCGCATCATCTTCGGTTGCCCCCTTAACGCGGGATTTATATAAACGGAGAGGGGGATAGTTGTGATCCCCGAACGTTCGTGGACCGTATTTCTCTAGGCTCTATTCCCGGCGAAATTTCGAAAGAGGGTCCTCGTCCGGCGAATATTAAATTTCCGTGGACATCGTGTCGCCGCGCTGAGGAGGGTTGAAACGCGTTGAAACGGCGTCGAGCATCGAATTAAAGACGACTGCCTGTCTGCTGTGTGTCTATGGTAATTCGTCAGCGCGTGGACAGCGACGTCCTGGTCACCTGTTCCTTTTCTGCTCGTTGGCCACGTGACAGGTGTCTCGCACCCGCCCGAAAAATCACACGTTGCCCGCCGTTTACCGCTAAACGATGCCAGTCGAGACCGATTCGCTGAATTTTCGTCTCTGACTTCTCTCTTGTGGATGACGCGTGCGGAAAAATATGTTGGTAAACAAGTGGACGGTTTCTCGATACAGAATTAGATTAGGAAAATCGATGTCGACCGATCCAATCGCGCTTCGTTTCGAGCATTGTTTGGGTTACTTCTGTTCGATCGAGGGAGTCACTTCTTCTTTATTTTCCTACTTCACGACCCGATACTGTTTAAAATAATCGGGACAATAAAATTGTGTTTGATCTGTTTTGGTTTCGAAGTATAAAATGGTTGAACGATGGCGTCAAGGTCGCGCGAAGGTCCCCTTGATATTTGGCTTCGCTGATATCCTATCTTTGTGACCATCTACGCTTGTAGTGTCGTTCTTCCGGCGATCAGAACGACTTGTCCTATCGTTTTACTGGCCCACAGAAGGATAAAAGATATAAATATTCCGAATGTAGCTCTATCAGAAATCTGATAAGCACTCTGTTACCGATAAGTCCAGTATCATTCGAGCCCATTCCACGTGTCGCCGGTTTTGCTCGTGAATCGTTTCTTCGGTATTCCCCATAAAGATTCTATTCCCTTATTTCTCCGAAGTTCAACATCCCCGTGTAGTCCTATCGGGAGTGGGAACACGGTAAAAAGCAAACAACCGAGCTGTCCGTAACAAATTCCAAGGAACGAGGAAAAGCCCTGCGCGAGTTTCGATCGAAACGGTAATCGCGCAAGAGTTTCTCGATCGGCGGATCCCGAGGGGACGGTTTCTATTGATTTAAACGCGCCTGGTACTCTGTGTCCACGATGGTTCTGGCCGTTGTCGGCAATCTTGGACCTGTCGGCCCGCTAGTTTCTTGCCCGTTCACATCGGAGACGAGGCGACGCGACGATATCGCTCCCGCGGCCACTTGGGTCCGGGTTCGTGTCGCAGCGCTTTGTAAAACGATCACGACGGATTCCCTCTTCTCGCACCCATCGTTCCGCTGATTGCAGTACCACCACTACGAAGCAACGCTTATTTTTACTAGGAATGCCCGGTTAGCGGAAAAAAAAAATAGGCGAACGGAAAGAACCAGCCGCGAGGGGTGGGAGGCGAAAAAGATAGGAACGGAGCGGACGTGGCAGGGGCTCTCGTTGACGGGAAGCTGAAAACTGGCGTATGGTAATATTAAGCTCGCTAGACGGCCCCTTTGCAATATAGTAAATACGCCAAATATCTACAGATGCTTTTTGTTCAATCTTTGCGATACAGGGGAGAGGGGTGTCGCTTGTGTACTAGCGTCAACCGTGCTCTTCTACACAAATTAGAGGGGGTGTTTCAAATACAGGCTACAGTACAAATATAGGTTAGTTGAAAGTATGTTTAGTTATGTTAGTTGCTTCACCATAGCGGGAATAATGTGAAATTACGATTCAGAAATAGAAGAAGCTTATTTTAAATGAGTTTTAGATATATTGAAATGTTACATCTTAAACATTTTTAATAGGTTTGGAAATAAGTCCTAAAATAAAAGTGATAGCCTTTATTTAAATCACCTCGTCTATTCCAACGTTTCGTCGGAGATTTTAATTGTCCGTCATGAATGAAAATTAAAAGCTCAGCGACTATTGATCTGGAACGCGAACAAGGTATATACGCTTCAATACTGAATCAGTACAATGCACAAAGCAAGCAGTATCAGCTTGTCATTTAATCCCTCGTGACGCTAGCTGCAACACGTGGAAGTCGTGTATGCAAATAGACACAGCTTACACCTGAAAATCTCGACAATAGTAATGTCAAGGATTACCTGCTTTGTGCTTCCATCGACGGCGGAATAATGCGACAGAGCTCTTGGTTCCATGATTCATGAGCGGTTTTGATGTTCAACAAGTGTTTCCCATTTTAAAGCGCCATCGTCGTCCGAACGATTTCGACAGAGCTGGCGGCGTGTATTTCTGCTCTCCATTCCAGAGTATCCGTCACTAATGAGCACGTTGAAGTCGGAATAACACAGAAAAATCTACGCAAGTTCATCGAGAGCATTCTATTTCGGGATTATAAATGATTTCAGTCTCTCGAACACAATCGTATTTAGACGTTTTCGAATCCCACAAATTTCTTTCTATCTTTCCATGTCCGAGAATTCTTATTGGAACTCTTCTTACCCCCATTACCTCTTAAACTAGATCTCCGAATATTACTTCATAATGCGCTAGGAATTAATACGCACTAACGTCTAAGATTCCGAGTTAGAGACATAGGAAAATCGTTACAACCTAAGATTTCTAAGTGCCTTAGAAATTTGTAAAATTTCGTGTTAGGAAAGTTGATAGAACAAAATTATAATTTTTAATACTAAACATCGGAATCCAACAATACATCCAGGAGTTTAGCTTGTTCACTGGTTCCTGGTCTCCTCAAGTATACAGTTAAGCAATAATACACAAATAAATCACTGATAGACAAAGGCTGAACGTTTACTATTTATCTTTACAAGCGACGTGATTTCTTATATCGTCACATTATTGCCGGGGACACCCACTATATTCGCGAAGGTTCGTTTCGTGAAATTGTCGACGCTATCTACGATAATCGAGCGGCGAAGTTTGCGAAGTCGAAATATCGCGTCGACGTAGACTCTCGTCGGTCGTTACGATCCATCGCTCGTGGGCGAGTTCCGCGATGATCCAAGGTTTCGGTATCGTAAATCGCGGTTACGACCCCCCGGCCACACGGAGCCAAACTGTTTTCCCTCCTACGTTTTCTCCTCC